AAATGTGACAAAATAAATGGTAAAGAAGGCGTGTGGGCGATGTGCAAGATGCCACACGTGTGGGCGTGAGTATTTTCCTAAAAATAAAGAGGTTCGGAGTTGTATTTTTAATAGTACTTCAAAACAACCACAATATCTGAAATACCACTGCTTCTTAAACTGCAGTACTAGTTTCATCCAAACACTTCAGAATATTCAATTCCATAGTTTTTTTAGAAACCATGGTATTCCCGGAGTACTCAAAAATACTTCGCAAACAAACAGGCCTGTACAGTTATATAAGACGTTTTAACATTAAAGTAGTGACTTAAAACGTCTAATAAAAGTTTACAAAGGAAGTAAATTACTCCCCGCACAAAAAAAGAAATTACTAACAAAATTATGAGGCCAGCTGAGTAGTTGTTGTGTCTTAAAAAGATAACGACTACATAGCTGGCCTCTATATTATTAGGGTGTACACGTCAACAAGGAAAATAAGAGAGAAAAGGGCCCGTATAAATCAAGGCGAGGACATTTGCTGAGTCTTTAAATCTACTATTGCAGATAATGTCATGATTGCTAACGCCTACTCTCTCCGTTTCAAATTACTCGTTGTTAAAATGAATGTATCTAGAACTAAAACACATCTAGATATATCCATACATGCGACAAGTAATTCGGAACGAAGGAAGTATATCGGTCTGACCATGTGGGGCGCAATCTGACCAAAATCAGAACACAATAGATACCAATCAGGACCGGCCGTGATGTATGGCCAGAGGCGCGATGACCCAGGGCCCATGCTTGGGGCCATGATCTGTTATAAATGTGTAGTATGGCCAGCAAAAAATTCGGTAGGGAAAAATTAAGAAAGAAAAGAAAGAGATGGGCTAGACCCAATTGTCCTGGCAGATCGCTAGACACCATGCACGGCTGCACGCGGGACTCAAATCATCTGAATATCGACTAGTTGATGAGTGCTTTTTCGGAGCCTCATAACAATTAGCACCATTTGACGCGTTCTCAGCCGCTCGCCACGTGTCGCGCTTTGGGCGTTCTCTTCAAGTATTTTTTTTCGCATGCATTTTTGGTTTTTTAAATGATGTTTTTTTCTAATTTTTTTACGTTTTGGTTTTTCACTGGTCATCCTTAGCTTTTGGGCCCAAAAAATCGATTTTTTTTCCCGAAAAAACGTATTTTTTTTGTTTATGCGAGAGGCACGGTTTCGCTTTGAGAGAGGCACATCCATGCCTCTAGGAAACAAAAAAAATGTGTTTTCTGTTTTTTTGCCAGAGGCACGATTTTGCTTTCACGAGAGGGATAACCATGCCTCTCATAAAGGAAAAAACGCATTTTTTCTTTCGCCAGAGGCACTGTTTTGCTTCTATGTGAGTCGCAGTTTTGCTTTCGCGAGAGGCATATTTTCTGTTTTTTTCTTCCGTGAGAGACACGTTTTTGCTTCCGCAAGAGGCACGGCCGTGCCTCTTAGAAACAAAAAAAAAAAAATCACATTTTCTGTTTTTTTTCTTCCGTGATAGGCACGGTTTTGCTTCCGCGAGAGGCACGGCCGTGCCCATCGGAAACGAAAAAAAACATGTTTTTTGTTTTTCCGCCCGCAAGAGGCATGGTTTTTTCCCTTTCCGAAAGAGGCACCTCTCACGAAATCACGACCGTGCCTCTTCCGGAAAGGAAAAAAACCGTGTTTCTGGTTTTTTTTTGTTAAAACCTATTAAAAAGGATTCTAGTTTTAAAGATCTCGATGCGAGAGATTTAAGGGTGAAAATGATTCGAGATTTGGACGCACGGTTTAAGAGATAAAACGTTTTGAATAAACAGATCTACGAAAAAAAGTTTTCATGTTGCGACAAGTGGCGTATATGTAGAGCCAATCTGAAAAGATGAGAGTTATCTTTATAATGAGTACTCTCTAATTAATGATTTCGCTGAATATCTAATCAGCGATCGTTTTGCTTGGTCAACTGTCGCTCGGTGCCTCGGTCAGTCAAGATTCAAGATTCTTGTTTGTTCTCGCCACTTCAAGCGGCACGGCCTGCCATTGTGCCATGCACCCGTGCCATCAACCCGCCATCCGGCATCCACGTGACCGCGAAAGTGACTCAGCGAGTACGTCTAGTCTTTCAGAAAATCACAAGTATGTATTCATCCATGATCCGTCTTCCCAATTTCCGTGTACATGATTAGGTATCGATGTATAAATTTTTAATTCAGTCCTTCATAAACCACAAGTACGTATTGGTCCATCCTAAATTTCTTTGTACATGACTAGGGTTCTGATGTATAAACTTACAATTCTTTGTATTCTCTTTACTTCACAATTTTAGGACATCAACCCACCTTACAATGTTGCCTAAGAAGCATTTGTCGGGTGCTGAGAAAAGAAAGAAAGCGATTTGAACTTTTTTAATCACTTTGCATGAAGAAACACCCGAAGAAACTTATTTACGAAACACTAAAATATTATTGTCGTCGATTGAGTCGGTTGAATTTGGTTCTTATTTGAGATAATCATATCATTTTCATTTTGAATCTTTTTAGTCTTTCTGTCATAATATGGCATTGTCCAATAATTATTATAGTCAAATCTTAAATTAAAAATGTATGATTGATAGTTTATTCTTAATATTATGTGAGAGAAGTTATATTTATTTATTTATGTATCACGTACACACACATAGATATATATGGTCTTAGGATTTAGGAGCCTATATCGCCGAGTTCGTTTTAGGGCCTTTCGAAACATAGAGTCGGCCCTGATACCAACTGAACATGATCTGTCGCAAGGGCGGAAGGCATGGGTAGCCTTCGACACAAAGTCAAATGGCCAAGTCATGCCACCGAGCAACCACCATCGCCAGCTTCATAGGTCGCTCCACCGCATCTACCCATGCTGATGAATTACCATCAGAAGGAGGTCGACGCATCAAAATATGTGCACCCTCCTCCCACGTCACTGTGAACGAAGTGGGATGAAAATAAATTAAGCCTAGCCCACAGCGAGTTCTTTTACGTTTCTAGCATAATTTCACTGTTAACCTGTTATAAGCTGTAAAAGAACCGAGACTGAATGATTTTACAAAGACAACTAATATAGCCATCGATGACGCCACCACACCACTCTTAAAGCATCTACAGCCGGGCGTCATAAACCCTCCATAAATGCCTGGGCGAACGACCTAGTCACTGTCCTATCATGAAATTTCGACCCAGACGGGCACTTCAAACGGTCCTCAAGCGCACGAGCTGATCGACATTCCTCATATTGAACTCAAATATGGGGTCGATATGGGGGCGCTCGGGCGCGTCCGCCACGTCGGACCGGGCCCACGCTGGCCCACCTGACCCCATATATATTCCTTCTCATTCGCTTGTCGGACCAAACCCTAGCCACTTCACTTCACTTCCCTCCACCACCCAAGCTTAACTCCGACAATCTTCGGTCGTCTCCGGCATGAAGGCAGCGGATCTGACTTCGACCGTCGACTGAGGTGTCATCCCATGCGGGTTCGAGGAGACGATGGCCGTCCGCATTGCACTCCACCGCTCCCGAGAGGACAGCATCCGGCCGACGGCAAGATCTGTCCGGCGAGACTCCATATTGTCGGCTCAATGGGCGCTCGGATCCTCTGGGGCTGGATCATGCCAAATTTTGGTAGTCCGATGGCACTATTAGAAATGTAGTAGCTAGGCGATGTGTGTAATGCATCGAGGTAGTTCCATGAGTTAGGATGGATCTGAGGTGTCCGGTTGTGAGAAAGCCAATTTGAGGTTAAATCTCTTAGGGGTGTTTGGTTCCATGCGCTGCATGTGGCTCACATTCATCATGTAAATTTTCGTTGTTTGGTACCCTGCATGGGCTTTTCAACCTGGCCCGGTGGATGCAAAAAGGGGCCTCTCAGCCAGGCTAAGGGAAACGCAGGGATTGAGCGTAGCTCGCGTGCAGGCGTGTTTCTTGGCTTTTCTGCTCCCTTTCGTTCACTTCTGACCAAAGACTGTAGCCGCCCTCGTCAAGTAGTCATCGTGGCCTCTTCAAGCGCCGCCGCCGCCGCGCCCTCGTCAAGTGCCGTAGCCGCCGCCGCGCCCTCGTCAAGCGACGCCGCCAGGGCCTCGTCAAGCTCAGCCCCCGGCCTAGTCGAGCAGCGCCGCCACGCCCTTGTCAAGCGCAACCGCCGGCCTCGTCGAGTGCCGCCGCCGGCCTCATTCTCCCCGTCGAGCGCAGCCGTCGGCCTGGTTCTCCCTCGTCGAGCACCGCCGCCGGCCTCATCAAGCCCGGATCCCATCGCCCAATACTACTGCTTGATCCCCTTTCCTCCCTGATTTCAGCTACATTTGGAAGAACCTACACATCGTACAGTCATATCATACAAGTTTCACCAAACACTATCTCGGCCAATCTTGCATCGGCTCAACCAAGCCACACTCACCCAGCATCCCCCTGCCATGCAGCCAAAAGCTACCCAGGAAACCAAACACGTCTTTGGTGTCCGCCGTGGGCATTTGAGGGTCGGATTTGACAAGTCATGTTGTAGAGGCCCTTAAAAGGCACCACGGTTGCTAGTTTTGATCACGGGATATATGGAGCAACGACACAACCTTGCTCCGCGCTGACACCATTGCTGATGTGCTTGCATTTACATACATGATCTCGTCACATGCATATATAGTTGAGAGAAACTGCTGTTCGATCTTTACAAAGCCTTGGACCTCGGCAACCCGCCGGTGTGCCTCGTAGTACACATCATCCGAAAATAGCTATTCTTATACTACTACAATCTGTCTGTTAGCTAGAGCAGAGCGGAGCGGGTGGGCAGTCGCCCTCCGAAACCATCGCGTCGCGACGCGCGTTTCCAGCAGAGAAAACGGAAGTCTCGGGCCGGCGTGAACCTACTTAAAGCGGCTGCCAGAGAGGGCCATGGACGACACAGTCAGTTGAGCTGATTCCCTTGACCGACCGGAGAGGAGAAGAGAACACGGGAGGTCGGGAAGCCAGTGATCTGAGGGAGATGAGCAGGGTGTGCGTCACCGGGGCCGCCGGCTACATCGCGGCCTGGCTCGTCCGGAAGCTTCTGCAGCGAGGCTGCGTCGTCCACGCCACCTTGAGATCCCTCCGTAAGTTCACCTGCTCTCTCGTCGACTCCTTGTGGCTGCAACCTGTGATCATACGATCCGTTGGTGATGCGTGCGTGGCAGGGGATGAGAAGAAGACTGGGCTGCTGAGGTCACTCCCCGGCGCGGCGGAGCGGCTGGTGCTGTTCGAGGCGGACATCTACGACGCCGCCACCTTCGAGCCGGCCATCCAGGGCTGCGACTTCGTCTTCCTCGTCGCCACCCCGCTGCTGCACGACGCCAGCAGCACCAAGGTAACGCAAGACCATCGACAAACCTGCGCTCGATCTGGCTGGTCACCCGCCTCTCGATCGAGCTCACAGCTCAATCGGCCTGTACCTGAATACTTCCTGACGCTTAACCACTGCGTAGGAGCTAGTACATCGGTGCATATTTTTCTTGTACTACTACTCCCTCCGTTCCTAAATATTTGTCCTTTTAGACATTTTAAATGACTAACACATACGGATGTATGTAGATATATTTTAGAGTGTAGATTCATTCATTTTAATTCGTATGTAGTCATTTATTAAAATGCCTAAAAAAACAAGTATTTAGGAACGGAGGGAGTAGAATATAAACTACCTATTACTCCGGCAGTCCGGCTATGTACCGATGCGATCGACTCCAACTTCCACCACGAAATTGATTGAAGTGCAGATATATAGCCGGCGAGTGATGGCGTGCGCAGTTCTTAATTCGCGGGCTGTCCCCTGTCTGCTTATCGTAGACGGTGGTGGCCTCGCGCTGACTTTCTATGTTGTCTTGTACCTCGATCGGCAGTTCTTAATTCCGTCTATGGACGCGACGGGATCGCCCGCCATAACACGGGTTACATCAGCGGCGGGGAGATCCCGGCTGTAGCCACAACCGCATGATCACCATGCATGGGGCGAAAAAAACATCCCCATCCACCGGCCCACATTAACAACCGCCCACTCGCTCGGTGGTCTCCTCCATTTCTGCACTACGGTTGGAGTGGGCTTTTTCTGGAGAGAACAGTTCCTCCCACTCGATGGCTCTAGCCGAACAGACGACCGTAGCTTTGCACGGGATAATATACCCTGATTAGAAAAACTAAGAACACGTGGCGACCTCGGCTGTTGCTAGAACTAGATGTCTATCTAGAAACTGCGTAGTCGAGTGCTGGGGTAGTTTGATTGGGACGTGATTGGAATTCCGGCGCTCCATGTGTTGGACTCTTCTTCGTGCGTGCGTTTGACAAGATACTCTAGCTGCCCCAGATTGCGACCGTGCCGACCAGCGGTTCACTGTGTGGTGTGACCATAATTGGTTTGATGACACATTTGAAATTGTCAATATTCGGCAAACTAGCATTTTGCAAAAAACAAAAGTTGCCAAAAGTTGATAACTTTTGTAGGTTGGCAAGAAAATTAGGTAGCTAACCAATTCCTAGCCAACATTTGGCATCTGCAAAATATTGACACGCCAACTTCTGACATCGAACCAATCATACTTTATATGTCACATACTAAAGGCTAGTCAATTTGGGACTGTTGTGGGGTTAATACATCAATTTTACTGAAATAGTAACACCTTTTTTACATATAACTTTTTTTTAGCACAGTACAATAGTTGTATATCTGTTTATACATTTTTTTTTGAAAAAAGAGGCTTGCCCCCGGCCTTTGCAGCTGAACGATGCATGCAACCATCTTATTGAAAAGTCTTAAAGTAGCACACAGTCATAAAAGTTTACAGCTCGCAAGCGGAGCAAACATAATTTTTTTTAGAAATGCTCAATATCACAACCGGTATGACAGCATAAAGGACAAGCTTCCTAGACTCATGTCATGTTATGCGACCGCCATCCAAACCGGTTGAATATAGCCCGTGCTATCATCTCCCACTGGTTGCATTCAGTAATTAATGGCTCCCTGGAGTCCGTAGGAGTGAGTAAGGACCACGTACGGATCCATATTGTAGCTCTGAAAATGACATGCAAGAAAGTTAAAATATGTTGTCTGTTAAAAATCATACCGTTCTTGCAATTCTATATAACCCAAATAAGCGCAAATATTCCAATTCAAATACGAGACGTAGTAATATGATCAACCTCGGTTAACCACGTCCCAAACAACGATTCAATGCTAACTGGAGGAGTAATGTTAAAGGCTATATGAATCGTTTTCAAAGTAATTTTGCGCGAGAACAATCTATGAATAAGTGTTGTATTGTTTCATCATGATCATAAAAACAACATCATGTACTGCTTACCCATCGTCGCTTTGGTAAATTATCTTTGATGGGGATCATTTGCTTGTGGACAAACCGCATAAAAAATTTAATACGCAAGGGAACCTTAACCTTCCAAATATGTATCGACCTTGGGATTGGGCCAAAATCAATTAGATCCATATAAAAAGATTTTACCGTAAACACTCCGTTTCTGGCCAACTTCCAGTGGAACGAATCTGGTTGGTCGGATAATTGAACATCTATCAATCTCCGTACCAAGTGCATCCAGGAATTTCAACGCTCCCCAACTAACAATCGTCTGAACTGAATATTCAAGGGTATCAATTGAAATACTGTGCCCAAGTAATCCTTCTTACGTTGCATAATATTATATAGAATGGAGTACTGTTTGGCTAGTGGCGTCTCCTCTAACCATGTATCCCCTCAAAATCTTATTAACATCCCATTGCCAATCAAAAAATATGACCCTACATATATAAGTTAACAATGAAAGTGTTCCTCGTTAATATGCATGCAGTACAAGAACATAACGGAAGCGATCGTGGACGCGACGCGCATCATCCTGCAGCAGTGCGAGAGGTCCAAGACGGTGAAGCGTGTCATCCACACGGCCTCTGTCACGGCCGCCTCGCCGCTCAAGGAGGACGGCGACGGGTACAAGGACGCCATGAACGAGTCTTGCTGGTCGCCGCTCAACCTCTCCTACGGCTACAGCAACGTCCACCTCGACGTAAGCAATATATATACATTTTTGCTACTGTCGGATAGCCAATCCTGGCATATGAGAGACCTGTGCCAACCAACTGACGGCGACGCGTTCGCGGGCGCGCACGCAGGCGTACGTGTCGTCCAAGCGGCTGTCGGAGGAGGAGCTGCTGAGGTACAACGAGTCGGAGGGCAGGGCGTTCGAGGTGGTCACCCTCGCGTGCGGGCTCGTCGGCGGCGACACCATCCAGCCCATCCTCTGGAGCAGCATCCCCGTGGTGGTGGCGCCGCTCACCGGCAACGAGATCCACCACAACTCCCTCAAGTTCATGCAGGCGCTCTGCGGGTCCGTGCCGCTGGTGCACATCGACGATGTCTGCGAGGCGCACCTCTTCTGCATGGACCAGCCGTCCATGGCCGGCCGCTTCCTCTGCGCCGTCGGGTACCCCAACATGGAGGACTACGTCGCCCGTTTCGCCGCCAAGTACCCGGAGCACAAGATATTGCTCAAGAAGTATGCAATCGATCGCCTTTCGTATGTTCTCGAATATTATTGTCTGTTGCTTGGTTGGTCAATTTGCGCTTGTGTTTTCTGTGGTGTTGTAGGGTGGCAGGAGAGGGCGTGAGGGTGAAGGGTGATTCGACCAAGCTTGTGGATCTGGGATTCAGGTTCAAGTATGGTGTGGAGGAGACGCTGGACTGCAGCGTGGAATGCGCCAAGAGGATGGGAGAGCTCTGATGTGTGATACCGTCGAAAAAAAAACCATGTACCGTCGGAAAAAAAACCCCAGGGAAAACCAAACTTTGGATTTGAATGCGGCAGCCCACACATTCACGATAGCCAGCCCACATGAATTCGTTGTGGTCTTCTTTTTTCCGGTTGTTCATTGTGTAATGTGTCCCCTTTGTTATTAGTTTGTGTCTTCTCGCCAGTTGCAATGTACTGCCTCCTTTTTTCGTTTATAAGTCTTATATAGGGATGTAAGTGGCAAATAAATAACGTTTGCAATTTCGTTTAGTTAGTTTTTGATAGCTTGATAGTTCATTTTCCTCAAACAAACAAAAAACTTCTTTGAACTATCATATCATAAGTGGACTTTAAACGGGATTAAACGGGATCTGGTTGACATCCCTAGTCTTATGCATGTCCCTAGATCTATAATTTGATAAATACAAAATGAGTTGTATAGTACAAAAATCGTACCATTAGAAAGTACAGGATTTGAAGTTTCTAATGATAGTTTCTTATGATATACTCCCTCCGTTTCAAAATATAAGTCTTTTTAAAGATTTCAACAAGTGACTACATACGGAGCAAAATGAGTGAATCTATGCTTTAAAATAAGTCTACATACATCCATATGTTGTAGTCCATTTGAAATGTCTAAAAAAACATATATTTAGGAACGGAGGGAGTATAACTTTTATTACTTCAATCTATTTGTCAACCGCATAATAAGCCTTATAAACCAGAAAAGACGTAGTATCATATATTGTGTGTTTTAGTAGTTTGGAAAGTAAATCATAAATTGAGGAGTACTCCATGCAAAGATCATTCCCATCTTGTCAGGTCGCGACAAGTGACGTGATTCATATGCGCTACTTGTCGCAGCCCAGGAGTTTTCCTTTTTTTTTCGTAGATTCGTTTATTCTAAATGTTTTATCTCTTAAACTGTTCGTCCAAATCTCGAACAGTTTTCATCGTTGGAATTCTCACGTCGAGGTCTTCAAAATTAGATCTCATATTGAAAGATTTGATAAACTTTTTATATGAAAAAATTAGACAAAAAAACAAAACCGGAAACACTTTTTTTTCCTTCCGAAGAGGCATGTGTTTTTTCCCTTTTCAAGACACACGACTGTGCCTCTCAAGGAACAAGAAAATAGAAAATGTGTTTTCTTTCCTTTTCGAGAGGCACAACCATTCCTCTCGCGCAAGCAAATACATGCCTGCGTGAGAAGTAAATCTGTGCCTATCATGAAATGTTTTTTTTAGTTTTTTCCTCTTTTCGAGAGGCACGACCATGCCTTTCGTAGAAGCAAATCTGTGTCTCTCGCGGGACGAAAAATAGAAAGCATGTTTTTTTTCCTTCTCGGGAGGCACGACCGTGCCTCTCGCGGAAGCAAATTCGTGTCTCTGCTAGAAATAAATCTGTGCATTTTGCGGAACTAAAAAAACATGTTTCTCTCACAACTTTTTGTTTATTTTTTTGGTTCAAATCCTAAGAAAAGCCAGGAAAAATAGAAAAGCCGAAAAAATCATATAAAAGCCGAAAATGTGTATAGAAAAATAAAACAAAAATCCGGATCTAGCGCCTAGAGTGCGACACAGGGGCGGCGGCTGAGATCGTCAAGTGACGCACTCCCAGCCCAACCCAAGTGACCCTTGCAAGGGCTCCCAAAGAATTACTCCTCAATTAGTTGCTCTTAGGTGAAATCCGCGCGTGTAATATCTCATGTTAAAAATTTAGTGTTGGCCAATTGGTTTTTTTAGGGGTTGTGTTGGTCTATTGGGTGTGAATATATAAGGCCTACATTTCAAGTGGGCTCATGTCTCTGATTGAGGTTTTCTTCATTGCAAGGTGCGGGAGTTTGTGGGCTCATGTCTTCGAGAGTGCCTATTCCCCGACCTTTGGGAGGGAGGGGAGGGGACCCAGCGAATCCTATTTGGCGCTGCAGGCGTCCTTAATGTGTATTTAGTAAACGAGCGCCTGCAGCATCCCATGCTGGTCTTCGGGAGTGCCTATTCCCCGACCTGTGTGGGCGGAACGACCCGACGAGTCCTATTTGGCGCTGCAGGCCTATTAATGTGTATTTTGCAAATAGGCGTCTGCAGCGCCCCACTGGGCCGGACCATATAGTTCTTTGTTCTGTGTTTGTAATCGGCAAAATATGCACGCGCTGGTGGCATACCCGCGACCTCCTACTTGGCACTGCAGCTGCCTGTTAATGTGTATTTTGTAAAGGGCGCCTCAGCGCCCTGCGGCCCAGATAGTTCTATGTTATTAGTCGGCAAAAAATGCACACCCTGGTGGCGTTTGGAACCCGCGACCTCCATCTTCGATACAGAGTGGTGCAACCACCGTGCGAACCAACCGGATCTGGCTAACTAGAACATTTTTTTCCCCTTTTATTCTTTCTTTTCAGTTTTCTCCTTTTTTTCATTTTTTTCGTTTTGCTTTTTTCCTTTTGTGTTTTCCATTTTCTTCTCCCTGGGTCAATGAACTATCTTGCAAATACGTGAAGTTTTTCTTCAAATCGATGAACTTTTTCAAAATCGATGAACTTTTTCCAATTTCAATGAACATTTTTCAAAATCACCCAACCTTTCTTAAAAATTGATGAACTTTTTAAAAAAAAATTATGAACATGTTTTATCAAGTCGGTGAACTTTTTCTGTAATCCATGAACTTTTTTCTAATTTGCAGACTTTTTTCAAATATTGATGAACGTTTTCAAATTGAGTGATTTTTTAAAATCATTCGTTATTCTCTATATTATTAAAAATTATTTTCTCAAATTTATGCTTTTATTTTCAAAAAAAAATATCGGACATATAATGTGTACTTTTATGTTGTACTGTAATAAGGTCAAATAGGTTATTTCCTGATTATAGAGCACTAAGCGAGTGTGTCCAAGTGGTTATTTGCTACGGTAGTTAACGTGTCTGTGCTAAGTTCAAGTCACGTTGCTCTAAGAATTTATCTGGATGATAATTTTTTTCTTTCCGTTCGCCTTTCAAATAGCAGATTATTAGGCCGGCCCGCTACAAGTCGCTGTGAGCGCCACGAACGCTAACTGGCGCCGAAAGCGCGATCGTCCCGATTTTTGTCATTTTTATTTCTTTTCATTTCTACTTTTTGCTTTTTTAAAGCAGTTTGGGTTTTCCAAAAAAGTCTAACTTTCAAAAAATATTCACGATTGCAAAAAATTATTCACGGATACAAATAATGGCCATGCTTTTGAAAAATGTCCACGCTTTTGAAAATGAACATCGTTCTGTTTGATGAACATAATTTTGTATTTCATGAAAAAATGAATTAAATGAAGGTTTTAAGAATTTTATGAAAAAACATTGAATTCAAAAACATTTTCACTGAATTGCATGAACAATTTTTCGAATTTGATGAACATTTTTTACTATAATGACATTTTTGAAATTGGTAACCATTTCTTGAACTAGATGAAAAAATCATCAATTCGAATATATTGTTTTTGAATTTGATGAACTGTTTTTGAATTCGATGAAGATTTTCTAAATTTGTTGAAAAACATTTCGAATTCGATGACAAAAAATGTTCACAATCTTTTAAAAAGTTGTGTGAAGAAAATTTACTCAAATAAAAAGTGAATAATAAAGAAGAAAAGATAGGACACAAAAAGTAAAAAGGAAACAAAACAACCAAAGAAAAAACCAGGAAAAAACCAAATATGGAAAATCGAGATGGGCCGGCCCAGTTCAAACAGGGTTTGCATCAGGAGCGGTGCGTTACACAAAATCACTAATTAAGAAGCACTGTTTACAATGGTCACCCACCTTGCAACGTTGTGACAAGTGGCGGTCTCAACCTGGGTGTTTCCCTTTTTTTTCCGTAAATCCATTTATTCAAAAAGTTTTATTTTCTTAAATCACACATCCAAATCTCGAATCAGTTTTACCATTGGATTCCTCGCATCGAGATCTTCAAAACTAGTTCCCATGTTGGTAGGTTTTAACAAACTTTTTTCCACAAAAAAACCGGACGAAGAAACCGAACCAGGAGCACTTTTCTTCTTTTGCGAAAGAGTCGTGAATGTGTCTCTCGCGGAAGCAAATCCATGCCTCCACGAGAAGTAAACCCGTGCCTCCCTCGGAAAGAAAAAAACTCTTCTAAATTTGTGAATATTTTTTAAAAAAAATGCGGAAAAATTATGGTAGAAACAATTTTTGAAACTCATAACAATTTTCAAAAATAGGAAAGATTGTTTAAAATATCTAACCAAAATTGAAATTCTCAAACATATTTCGAAATCAAAAAGTAAAAACAAGAGAAAAATAAAGAAGGGAAAACAAAAAAAAGATTGGTTTAGGAACCGTCTAGAAGGTTCCTGAAACCGATAGAAACTTCTAGGAACCATCTAGAAGGTTCACAAAACCCAAACGGCTCAGCTATGTGTACAATGAGAGATGGGCCAGCCAATTGGTTGCGCGGGTGTACGATTGGTCACCCCTTTGACGCAGAGAGCGTCAATTGACTCATTCGTCCAATCTGCTCGTCTATTTTGGAAAGCAATAGGTGCTGGTTTAGGGGGGAAACAACTCCTCGGTTTTCTATATTTTAAATCCTTGTATTTTTTTAAAGAATATTACTGGATTTAGAAACAAATTATGGAACCAAAAAGGTTCACGAATTCAAAAAGTTCAGGAATTTGGAAAAAATCTTCACGGATTTAAAAAGTTCATGAATTTGAAAGAATTTTACAAACTCGACAAAAGATCATGAACCAAAATAAAATTTCAAGAATTTGAAAAAGAGTCTGCAAAACTGAAAAAAGTTCACGAGATTTGAAATTTTATGATTCTAAAAATGCACACAAATTTGAAAAAAATGTGTGGGTATGAAAAAAAACATGCATTTGAAAAACATGCACGCGACGCCCGCAATGTGTACTCGCCTACATACATGTCAACAAATACATAAATACATAACTACGCCTATAAGCGAGCTACTACCAAATATATTGAGCTCGCACATGAAT